GACATGTTGTAAACAAAGCTCCTCAACCAATGACAGCGTGTTAAATGTGTCAGGTGACGAAGACGAGCATCAAAACATTTTGCTAACAAGTGCTGTTCCGGATTAAAAAAACATAGTTCGACGTTTCAAATCATTATTAAATTTGGAAGAAGGGCAGATAAAATATTGTTCTTCATGGCAGCTTATCTCTTTAAGGTTCACTAGAACAACTCAGGTGATTTACTTTGATCCTCTTTTCAAAATGTTTCTTCAAAACACATCAACAAAAGTTAAAAACTGGAAGACGAGGCTGTAGCTAACTACCTGACGGCAGCACGATTTGTTGAAACTCGTAGAAATAACGAAGCAGGAGGAAATAACAGCAAACACACCGAGCAGCCTGGTAAAATCTGGTCCCAGCAGTTTGGGAAGAAAATGGCAGCAGCTGCTGATGAAGTGTCGACATCCCTACAGTAACTAGTTTAAAAACTGCTGAAAGGTATTGTGGGTAACCCTTTTACCACCTGACTCGCTATATGGAGGGAGTGATTACTCAGCAGTCAACTCTCTCTATTTCACTTTGATAAGAAATGTGGTTAAAAAAAGATATTCCAATGTATAAAAAACTGTGTCTAAGTTAAATATGACTCACTGGTGTTCATGGTTAAGATTTTTTCCCAACAACTCTGGTTTGTAAAGAGAAAAATAATTACCGTGATTTACCAGTTACTTTAACAAAACTTAAGGTTTTTTTTCAGTGTACTGTTTGAACAAATAATAAACACACACAGTACTTCAGGAACTTCCTTTTTGTATTAACTGAACAACAAATTATAACAGAATAATGTAGAGATGTTGACATGTCGTCAGCAGCTGCTGCCATTTTCTTCCCAAACTGCTGGGACCAGATTTTACCAGGCTGCTCGGTGTGTTTGCTGTAATTTCCTCCTGCTTCGTTATTTCTACGACTTTCAACAAATCGTGTTGACGTCAGGTAGTTAGCTACAGCCTCGTCTTCCAGTTTTTAATTTTTGTTGATGTGTTTTYAAGAGACAATGTTTTGAAAAGAGGATCAAAGTAAATCATGAGTTTTTCTAGTGAACCTTAAAGAGATAAGCTGCCATGAAGAACATTATTTTATCTGCCCTTCTTCCTAATTTGATAATGATTTAAAACGTCGAAGTATGTTTTTTTTAATGCGGAACAGCACTTGTTGCAAAGTGTTTTGATGCTCGTCTTCATCACCTGACACATTTAACTCGCTGCCATTGGTTGAGGAGCTTTGTTTACAAAACAGATGTCCACATGGTTTTAAATTGTTACTTTCTAAGACACATTGGGCCTCATGCAAGAACCGTTCGTACACAGATTTGTTCTTAAATTGTGCGTACGAGTGATTTAGGAGAATTTGTGGCATTCACCAATGTTTTCATATTCTAAGATTTTTTTCNGAGTTTGAAAGAGAGTTTCAGTACTATTTCTTTAAAACTTCACCCAGGCTCAAAACTGAATATAAAAAGTTTTAGGTTTATTGTCCTGATTTGGTATTTTTACTGTATTTTATGGTAAATCAACTACGATTTTATTAAACTTTTAAAAACTAAAATAGTACACCAACAACCTGAGTCATTGCTCCACGACCTGAGTCCGTCTAACTTCTTTGACCTGTTGAAGCTCTTCTGTTTGTGGTTAATGTGTGAACAATTTCCTCTCACACTTCCTTGTTTAGTTTGATATTTTGAACAGATTATTAGATGAGCCAGTGAAATAAGTAGCTGCTTGTTTCATTTCTACTCAGTTTATCAAGGTTCTATTAATTTTCATGCATTTTTTTCTAGAGTTTTTCTAGTTGTTTTTGCACAAAATAATCTTTTCTAATATGTTATCCACTCCTACTAAGCCACATGTGTTCCCCTGCCTGTTATCACTGCTCAGAGGTCTTTGCCCTGTCTTTTCTGGAAAATGAGTCCGTATATTTGAGTAACTTCCTTCCCGTCATCACTGCATCTTTATAATGAACATGACTCAGAAATTTTATCTTGAAGGTTTGATTCTTTGTGTTTGTCTCTGACCTTTGACCTCATTCAGACAGAAAAGTAAAATGTGACAGTTTTGTTGTGGTTTGGGAGGTTTTGTGTATCAATGTCTACGTCCTGGTTGTTTTCAGCTTGTTTTTAATTTATTTAACTTTGTTTGTAGTTATTGTCTTCCATCCATTTTCCTCCTCTGCTTCTCAAAGCTGCTGCCAATCTGTAATCACTCAGCTGCTGTCACATTATCATTACCTCCTGGTGTTTAAATGTGACTGTCTGTTTGTCCTCTCTGGTTTTACCTGTCTGGTTGCTCACACCTGTAGCTCCAACAATCAATAAGAACTTTGCTAAGAACCAGTTTTAAATTGGATCTTTAGTATCTTTGTCACAGAAACAATCCTCCCACTTCTTTAGCTGAGTTTATTAGAATTATAAACATTTGACAGAAAAAAGGACTTTAGCTTCAACAACTAAGAAGCTGTTATAACATCAGTGTTTTTATAGTGTGATTTTGAATCATCTCACTTTATTGGCTTGTAAAATAACCTAGAAGTTAACAAACACAGGAAGAAAAGAAATGTTTCTCTTTCAATATACTTTGTTGTTTGAACTTTTTAATCACTTTAAAAAATCATGCACAAACCCTTTWAAAAGATAGAAATCCAGATTTTAAATTTCAGCTTTAAAACACATATCTATAATGGCAGACAGATTATGGGAAACAACAACAACCAGGTCATTGTTGCTGAAATATAACAACCCAAGGAAAATAAATTCCCAGCATCTTTTTCTTCATGTCAGATATGTGGTGCCGTTTGTAAAGTTACACTGTCAAAAATTACCACCAATATTTTTGATTTATTTAGACTTTTATAAGAAAKAAAGAACAGATTTATTTTTCAAAGTCAGTTTTTCAC